AAGAAATTAACATCTCTGGGCAGTGAGATAAAGAATGAGTTCGTAACTCTAAATAATTTTCAATTTAGCACACTTTCACAGAATTCCATTTTTCTATCATAGCTAAAAAGAACATTACAACATGATCCAGCATGGAGGGCTGAAGAAAGATCATCATAATTTTCAACATATCTCAGCATATCTTTGTTACAAACCAGATTGTAAAACTGAAAAAGAAAAAAAAAAAATGAAAGATAAATAGCCCAACCTTGAGAATAAAATTAAAAGAATCACTATGAAAGCAAGTTACACAGAGTGAGGAAATCAGTTTACCTTTCATGTAATTTCATTTTTCTTACATTTTAAAAATATTTTGAGAAGGTACTCTTTAGGACACATCAAATAAGAGAATGTAATGCAAAAAAGAAATAAATGTTTTGATATATCTTAAATATCTTCAGTTAAGTATTAGAGAATTAAATATATTGTAAACCAAGATTGAGTAACATTATAAAACTAATATCTAATTGTCAATATCCTGGTAAGGATTTTGAGGTTTCAATATCTCAATAAAAAAAGCACATTTTCAATTCAAAATGGTTAAAAATGAAAGATGTACATTTCTATGTCATTAAAGACAACAAAATTTTAAATTATAGATCTATAGTTTTACTAAATAACTTTGGTATCTATGTCATAAAAATAAGCCTGAAAAAGCTTATTAGAATGACTTCATAGAATTCCAGTTGGGCATTTAATAAAGATATTATTAATCTGTATTAATCTAGAATATTCTTGGCATATACTTTTTGACATTTTTCTGTCCTGAAAAAAAAATGTGATGTGAAAATTTAAAAGAATACCTATCCTCGGAGAGAACACTCCCTCCAGAAACAGTTGTTGAGTTAGCTCCTACTACTGACACAAGAACCCCTACTACTTTAACTTACAAGTATCCAAGCCTACCAAAGGTTAAACCTATAAAGAATGAGCTGGTGAGCAGAAGCTGAGGTAACAGAAAAAGAAGGATCAATAAAGATAATTAGAGAGAGAGAATCACTGTCCTTAGGTCAATCGTTTTATGACTGCCAAACTGTGCGCTTGCATACATGTAACTACTTATAGCACACACACAACAGTAAATATGCTCTGTTGACTAGTCTCAGTCTAAAGACATGGCATGAATAGAATGAAAAAGATGTGTTGCTGGACTCATTATGGACTAAGGATTCCCTGATGGTTGATGGGTAAAGACAGACATGAAAATACATTTTTGGTGGTCGGAGAGGGTCAAAATGTCATTCACAATGCTAAGGTGATTTAAGGACATATCAGACACCCATCATAGGGAAATGTGAACTAAACAAACAAAAATCTGATCAAAACATAATGTAATCATAATACATGTTATAAAAGTGAAAACAGGGACTTCTGATGAAGATGGCAGTGTAGGCAGACATGGCTCACCTCTTTACACAAATACATCAAAATTACAACTAAAATATAGAACAACCATCACTCACAACTGTCATAAATCGAGTTGAACGGAAGTCTGAAAAATACAGAATTAAAGAACCACATCCATCCAGACTGGCAGGAGGGGTGCAGACATAGAATGGGCTGGTCCCATACCCACTTGTAGTGGATAAAAATTCTGGAGAGATACCTCTGGAGTGAGGAGTCCCAGCCCCACACCAGACCCCCAAGCCCAGAGTTCCAGTGCAAGGAAGATAAGTCCCCACAACCTCTGGCTGCAAAAAGCAGTGGAAATTGTGTCAGTGGAAGAAACTTCTGGAGCCCAAGCAGTTCCTCTTAACCCATACATAGACTCACCTACTCAGACTCATTCCCTCTGAGCTCCAGCAATGGGGTGGCAGCTTGAAAGGTGTCAGTGGAATACTGGGAGAGGCTAAATCATCTGGCATCAGGGCGAGCAAAGGCCATTGTCCCTTTTCTGAGCCAACCCCTCTCCTACAGAGCCACAGAACAGGCAAGTTGGTGCCAAATCTGAGACTCCATCAACCTGGCTAACACTGTTTGATCTAACATGGATATGCCCTGAGCCTCCGCCCCACTCAATTACAGGCCCACCCAAGCTGCTTTTCCATATGAATGGCTGGTCTTGGCTGTACAGCACAACATCCTAAATCCTCTCAAACAAACAACAGCTGGCTTCAGTGAGCCCCAGGCCTGGCACTAGCAGTAGCCAGACTAGATTCACAGCTTGGCTTCTCCTGGGAATCTCCAAGACCAGCGCAGGAAGCAACCATCTCCGACTGCATTATAGCTCAGGCAGGGTGGCCTGGGCCGAAACACAGGTGGGAGCTGACTTTGGCCTGTACCACCCAAGAAACCCCAGGGCCACTGCATGCAGTGGACAGCTACAGACCACGTTGGAGCACCAACACCCTGCCTCTGCACAGCTGATCCTTCATGGTGGGTGGAGTTTAGGTTGTAAGTGGTCACAGCCAATCCTTGCAACTAACTGGCTGGGTTAAATCCCTCCATTGATCAGCAACCAAGGCTCAACTACAAGAGCAGGGTGCACTCAGCCCACATGAAGGGCACATCTCGAGTACTCTGCTTGGGTGATAGGGAAGGCTGTGCCACTGGACTCTACAGGACACCTACTATATCAGCAGTTCTACCTAATAAATAGAAACAAACACAGGGAGGCTGCCAAAACAAGGAGACAAATAAACATGGCCCAAATGAAAGAAGAGAACAAAATTCCAGATAAAGAGCTAAACAAAATTGGGAAATAGGGTAATGGATTAAGAGGAGGGGAGTGAAAAAAATAATGTGATCTGCCAGAAAATCAAATTGTACGGAAGTCCAACAACCAAGGAGTTAAAAAAACATTCGTTCAGACCCACAGGAGGGGCGGAGACAGGCAGCCGGGGCAGAGAGAACAAGTAGCAATGCAGCAGCTGGAGGAACCAGCGGGCTAGGCAGTGGCTGAGGACCAGGGGGGCAAGGCGGTGCTTGGCAGATCGGGTGGCCCCATATCTGCTTGTGGATAAACCAGGAGAAACAACTGGGAAGCGAGACAGACCATGCAACCTGGTTTCCAGTGTGGGGAAGTAAAGCCCCAGAACCTCTGGATATAAAAACCTGTCGGGGTTGCGACAGCAGGAGAAACTCCCAGCCTCACAGGAGAGTTTGCTGAAGAGACCCACAGGGTCCTAGAATGTATACAAACCCACTTATCCGGCAATCAGAACCACAAGGGCCCAATTAGCTTGTGGGTAGTAGGGGAAGTGACTAAAAGCCAGCAGAGAGCGCAGCAAGTAGCCCCTATTGGGCCCCTCCCTCTCATACAGCATCGCAACACAGGCCAAGAGGGTTGCCCTGCCCTGGCAAGTACCTAAGGCTCTGTCCCTTACAATGTAACAGGTGCATTGAGACAAAAAAAAATATGGCCCCAATGAAAGAACAGATCAAAGCTCCAAAAATAGAACTGAGTGACAAAAAGATAGCCAACCTATCAGATGAACAGTTCAAAACAATGGTAATAAGGATGCTCACAGAAATGGTTGAGTATGGTTGCAAAGTAAAGGAAGAAGTGAACATTACGCAAAGTGAAATGAAGAAAAATATACAGGGAACCAACAGTAAAGAGAAGGAAACCGGGACTCAAATCAACAATTTGCAGCAAAAGGAAGAAATAAACATTAAACCAGAACAGACTGAAGAATCAACAATTCAAAAAAATGAGGAGAGGCTTAGGAACCTCTGGGACAACTTTAAATGTTCCAACATCCAAATCACAGGGGTGCCAGGAGGAGAAGAGGAAGAGAAAGAAGTTGAAAACTTATTTGAAAAAAATACTGAAGGAGAACTTCCCCAATCTGGCGAAGGAAATAGTCTTCCTGGGGATCCAGGAAGCTCAGAGAGTCCCAAAGAAGTTGGACCCAAGGAAGCACACACCAAGGCACATCCTAATTACATTACCCAAGATTAAAGATAAGGAGAGAATCTTAAAAGCAGCAAAAGAAAAGGAGAAAGTTACCTATAAAGGAGTTCCCATAAGACTATCAGTTGATTTCTCAAAAGAAAACTTGCAGGCAAGAAGGGGTTGGAAGGAAGGATTCAAAGTCATGAAAGGCAAGGACCTACATCCAAGATTACTCTATCCAGCAAAGCTATCATTTAGAATGGAAAGGCAGATGAAGTGCTTCCCAGATAAGGTCAAGTTAAAGGAGTTCATCGTCACCAAGCTCTTATTAAATGAAATGTTAAAGGGACTTATCTAAGAAAAAGAAGATCAAAAACTATGAACAGTAAAATGACAACAAACTCACAACTATCAACAAGTGAACCTAAAAAAAAAAACAACCAAAAACAAAATAAGCAAACAACTAGAACACGAACAGAATCACAGAAATGGAGACCACATGGAGGGTTATCAGTGGGGAGGGGAAGGGAGGAGGATGGGGGAAAAGGTACACAGAATAAGCATAAATTGTAGGTACAAAATAGGCAGGGGGACATTAAAAATAGTACAGGAAATAGAAAAGCCAAAGAACTTATATGTACGACCCATGGACACGAACTAAGAGCAGGGGGATGGGGGGCGAAGGAATGCTGGTGGGAGTGGGGGTACAGGGTGGAGGGGAATAAAGGGGAGAAAAAAAATGGGTCAACTGTAATAGCAAAGTCAATAAAATATATGTATATAAAGAAAACAAAAGAGGTGAGGGATTGAGAAACACAAATATGTAATACAGAATAGCCATGAGGATATAAAGTACAATATAGGAAATGAAGTAGCCAAAGAACTTATATGCATGATCCATGGACATGAACTATGGTGGGGGGACAGCCTGAGGGAGTGGGGGGTGCTGGAAGGAGCGGGGCACAGGGGGAAAAGTCAGGACAACTGCACCAGCATAATCAATAAAATATAATTTTAAAAAATGAAAAAATCTGCATAATTGGACAGGTTTTATACTGTACAGTTTAAAATATCCTTAAAAAGAGGTTTTATGTGACTGCATGTAGAAGTTAATGCATCTTACCTTCCACAGAAGGTGCCTGGTCCTGAGCTGAATATAACATATCCTTGAAAGCCTATGAGGAAGAAATAAAAGAATTATGTGAATTGAGTAATCTTTACACTAAAAGCATTTGAAGCTAAACAATTACTTCTTTTACAATATCCACACAATAACTACATCTGATTTCCTAAATTAAGAATTTAGTGAGAACTGGCTGGCGTGGCTCAGTGGACTGAATGCTGGCCTGCGAACCAAAGGGTGGCCAGTTCAATTCCCAGTATAAGACACATACCTGGGTTGCAGGCCAGGACCCCAGTAGGGAGCACAAGAGATGCAACCACACATGGATGTTTCTCTCCCTCTATTTTCCCCTTCCTTCCCTTCTCTAAAGATAAATAAATAAAATTAAAAAACAAACAAAAAACTAGCTACAAATATCATTTTAAAAAAAGAATTTAGTGAAATACTTCAAATGCCAAAACAAAAATACTGCATTTTCATAGCAATCCAGTATTGTCTAATCTTTAAGACAAGGGCTAATTTGTATACTTTAAGTATTAAAGGGCATTTGAAAAAAATAAAAATCACCTGAGAGATTATAAATTCTCTGACTAAAAGGTAACAGTTATAAAAACTGAGAACAATGGTGCTAGAGGAATACAATGGAGCACCACATAAGGAAATATGAAACACTTGTTACAAATTTTTTAAATTGTATTATATGAATAACATAAAATTTACCATCTTAACCATTTTCAAGTGTGCCGTTCTATAGTGTTAAGTACATTCACACTGTTGTGTAACAGTCTCCAGAATTCTTTCCATCTTGGATAGATACACTTTTCAGTGGAGGGCTAGAAAGTCCTCAATAACAGCCCAGGACTATAAAAACAGTAAAGGTTTTACTGGGTTTTTTTTTTTTCCCCATACCAGGAAATCAACTAACAACCATACTAAGGTAATTTGGATGGTTGCACTTTGGTCTTTTTAAACGATTTAGGGACAGGAGTGAAACGCATTTCTCATATCTATCAAAATGGCAGCATTAATTAAGTGGATAAGTCTCCACAGCTGAAGAGCTGGACATCAGCTAAGGTGACTGTATAGGGTCTCACAGCTTCAAAGCTTCAAATTTGGTGCTTCTACCTTCTGGTGGTTCCTAAACTGGCCACCAGCTTTCCTTAACCTCGGTACAACTGACATTTGGGGCCAAATAATTCTGTCTTGTGAGGGGCTGTTCTATGCATAACAGGATTTTTAGCAGCACCCCTGGCATCTAGAGACTCAGGAGATATCAGTAGCAACCTCCCCACCAAAGCTGTGACAACGAAGAATGTCCCCAGACACTGCCAAATATCCCCTTGGGAACAAAATCACCCTTCCCCAGGCCCACTAGCCCATAGTCATTCAAGCCTATCAAAACAAAAAAACCAACACCCTCCCCCCCTCCAAGAAATACACCTCTACGGTAACTCATTCTATATCTTCCTAAGAGAATTTATCATTGCTTTAGATTAGTGACCAACCTATTAGTTCCATGACTGAACAAACCTGACCATATACAATCAAAAAGATTTCCAAAGAACAAGGAAATTTTAAAATTAATGCATTTCCGTTCATTTTAACCCATATTTTATAAAAAAAAAATTTGTAGGAGCTCTGGTCAAGTGGTTAAGTTGGTTGGAATGCCGTCCCTGTACTCCAAAAGGTTGGGGTTCGATTCACAGTCAGGGCACATACCTAGGTTGCAGGTTCAATCCCTAGATGAGGAGCATAAGGGAGGCAACTGATCAATGTTTCTTTCTTGCATCGATATCTCTCTCTCTCTCTTTCCCTCCCTTCCTCTCTAAAATCAATAAACATATCCTTGGGTAAGGATTAAAAAATTTTTTGCAGGAAAATTATGTATAAAAATTTTAATTTCACACATGCTTAAATCCAAAAATATTCAACAAGAGTCACTATTTATGTAGAATTTGAGGCAATACAGTAATACAAGTGTTTTATAACAAAAAATATTTGCTCCTTGTTTCAGAGTCCTGACACAAAGCTCTGAAAACCCTTGAAATTTACTCTTTGCATACTGATGAGATGGCTCATGGTGGAGGGGTGGCGGGGAAGGCTCCAAACAGCTTTAGGATGGTGGTTGGTCCCAAGAAGAATGAACAACCTGATTAAAGGGTTAAAACTCTCACCCCACCCCAGACCTCTAAAGAAGGGAGAGTGGCTGAACATTGAGTTCAATCGCCAATGGCCAAAGATGTAATCGATCATGACCATGTAGTGAAAACTGCAAAAAACTTCAGGGCTCAGAGAGCTTCCAAATGACGTGATAAGGAACCAAATAAACCATCAGAGATCAGTAGGGTAACTTGTACACAGTAAGAGCTCAACAAATAATTCTTAAATTCAAGTTTCTTCTTTGGAGAACATTACTTTAAAGATGATTGCAAAAGCACAGGAAGTAGAATCTCTGACATGTAATGAAAATGAATCAAATTTGCAAAAGGAAAGTTTACCAAAGTTTTAAAAAATGATTAAAACTCTGTAAAGAGAAAAATGAGAGTCTCATTTTAATTTTAAAACTGAATCATAATTTCATTTAAATCAAGACACCATCAGTGAAATCATAGATAACTCTTTTTACTTCTTAATACTTGAGTTTTCACCTGAATAAGAGACCTTCCATGTTTTTTCTAGTAAAAGATTCTAGAGAACTCCATAAATAGGATACCATTCTATGCCTGTGACGGAAGAATAACCCCCTAGTGGGAACAAGGAGGGTGGGAAGCCTACAAGGGTTGTCTCTATCAGTACCTAAAGACGGTCTACAAGCCACCCGGATCACTTGCCTAGGTTGGGAGGAATACATCCAAATACACAAAATAACAAATTCAAAGAGTTTCCTAGATTCTTGTTGTTTTATCTTAAGGAATTCTAATACTCATAATAAAACTCTGAATTTGTATAATAAATAAAATCAATACATATTCCTGTCCGTTACAAAAGATTTCTTTGATTTCCGAAGGATTTTAAACAATCCTGCTCATCAGCATCTCTGAGTGCTGTTATTTTTGTTATAATGTTATTGAAATACATGTAAACTAGTAAAAAAAACTCTGCATGCTTGTAACAATTCAGAGAACAGTAAAATCTTACAAACTAAATCCAAATACAACCACAAAACCAGTACTATTCAACCAACATTAACATGACAGGAAAAGAGATGTTTGCAGAGACAAAATCTCAACTAGTAATATGAATACAATTCTGACTGCCAATATACCTGTTCTTCTGCATCTGGAACACCTATTCAACTTTGTGTCAGATGTGATGTAATTCCCCTGCTACCTCTCTCTACATGAGGCAGCGTAGTAGAGGGACTGAGACCTAGAGTCAGACAATGTGCATGAAAACCAACTCTACCATTTATTAGCTTGGGAAGATTAACTGCTCTGTACTTCGGTGCCCTCATCTGTAAAACAGGAATGGTGACTGCACATACCTCACAGGTCTACTGTGAAAATTAGAAACTCTTAAAACACAAATGCTTATATTAATTATGATTCATGATTATATGAGGATACATAAAAAGTACTTAGAATAGTGCTCAGAACATAGAAGATACTCAAAGAATGTTAGTTAATACAATGTGAAATACCACAAAACTTATGTCATACAGTGGCTGTGGCATCATTTGGCCCTCTACTGGCCATTTATGTTTCAGTCCTTATAAGTCTTCACAAAGTAGATGGTCAAAAGGAAGAGTTAATACATTTATAATATTTATTGAAAAAAATCCAGCCCAGGCCGGTGGCTCAGTGTTATTCTGTACACCAGAAGGTTGTGGGTTTGATTCCCAGTCAGGGCACATACATAGATTTGCAGGTTTGATCCCAGTTGGGACGTGTACGGGAAGGAACCAATCGATGTTTCTCACATCAATATCTGTCTGTCTGTCTGTCTCTCTCTCCCTCCTTTCCTCTCTAAAATCAATAAGCATATCTTTGGGTGAGGATTGAAAGAAAAAAGAAAAACCCATGTATAAGTGGACCTACTCAGTTCAAACCCATGTTGTTTAAGGGTCAACTGTATATCTTCACAGCCTGGTAGAGCGCATAGAACAGACATCCAATAATGTTCATTGAATGAATAACGCTTTATAATTTCCTTAATAGTAATATTAAAATAATCCAGAAATGTTTATGGTTCACCTCTTTCATACAAGTATAAGCAAGGTGGCAACAACCCTAACTTTTATAATTTGCCTACCAGGTAGCAACGTGCTTGTGCACTCCCTTCCCATAAGTACATAGGGCTGATCTGTATAACCTATGGAATATTGCAGTAATAACAGAGTACTACTTACAAGGCTAGGTCATAAAAACATTTCATCTTACTCTGTCTTGGGATAACACATTCTGAGGGAAGCCAGTCATCAAAAACCTGAAGCAGTGCTATGGAGAGGTCCAAGGGGTGAGGAACTGAGGCCTGAAAAAGGCCAGCACAAACCTGCAATCTGCTGGAGTGAGCCATCCTACAATTGAACCCTCCAGCCCCAGTCAAGCCCTGAGATGACTACAACCCCGGCCGTCCCCTTGACTGCAACCTCACAAAATATCCTGAGCCAGAACCACCCACTTAAGCTGCTTCCAAACTCTTGACACGCAGAAATGGTGTAAGAAAATAAAAGTTTATTATTGTTTAAGCCACTAAGTGTGGGGGCAATGCAGTATACGGCAATAGATAATACATGAAGACTAGATTGAGACATTTTCATATCACAGAATGTGCACGCTACTAGATCATAACCAACATCTTTGGCTTACTTTGATCAAGGAGCTAAAATTTTTATTCCTATAAAGATATAAAATTATGGAAAGGAAAACTATGACAGTATCAAGTAATTTATTCTAGCAATAATAAGCAAAACTGTATTCCCATATGTCAAAGCCACCAACACTGTAATTTAACTTACCCTGAATGCCCTTGAGAAGTCATACAGCCACACTTCTGAACTGAAGCGGGCCTGACAGAAGAATAAATAAGCATCTTCCTTGTCTAAGGAACTGA